ATATCATTATTATATAAAAATTGTTTTTATTCCGGCATGCGCTTCTGCACTTCGGGGTGGGGGGGGGGGTTTGTTTCAATCTTCTGGAGAACCTGTTTAAGAGTGGCAAGTGACAGAAGAGTGTGATTTTGTTTAACTAAAAAATCTATCCACACCGTGCCATAATGGATCAACTTCACCACGTCTGATAGGAAATTCTTAACATCAAGATGTGCTTAGTCAGAAACTTTCTCCTGCTTTTGGAAATCTTAATCCATAACAGTCAAGGAGTATTTAGTCAAACTTTGAGAGACACAATCATAACTGATAAGAATATAGAGGGTTGCCCATTGAAATTACGATCCCTATTGCCCAAAATGCAGAATCAGATGGAATGCTTTTAATATGCTGACTCTTTATTAAGTTCATATAATTTCTAAAATGTAGCTCGTTTCATTTGTTGCTCATATTTCTCTTATTCAAGTTTTCTTCTCTTTGCAGCTCTCATTTCAGCTGTGGACTAGCCAAATACAGGAAACCCTGAACTCTAGAAAGCGTGGCGACAATGCATTTCGAGCTAAAGACTTTGCAACTGCCATTAGTTGTTATACAGATGTAAGTAAACCTTCATAAAATTGCATTTAGCTCCATGCATATGGCGCAATAGGTTATGAAGATCTTTCATGTGCTTGGCTATGCAGTTCATCGAGGGCGGGAATATGGTATCCCCAACAGTCCTTGCCCGGCGCTGTTTGTGTTACTTGATGAACAACAGGCCACAAGAAGCCCTTGCAGATGCTATGCAGGCCCAAGTAACATCCCCTGATTGGCCTACTGCTTTTTATCTTCAAGCGGCTGCCCTCTTTAGCCTGGGAATGAACAGCGACGCACAAGAGACGCTTAAAGATGGCTCGTCTATGGAAAACAGAAGATGAAGTGGATTTGGCAAAATGTATAGATTAATTAGGCTTTGCCTTATAAATGCTCCTTGTATCTAGGTTTTGCAATTTAGAAATGCCGTTTGGCTGGTTGTTTGCAGCATAAAAAAGCTGGTTGCAAGACAAGATTCATTCAACACCGAGTGACTATTATTTTCTGTGTTTACTTGCTGACTGGGAAGAACGTCTTATGTTTGCCTTTGTTGCCAAGTCATCAGATGCATTATCTGACTGCATTGAAAATTGATCGAGCAGAAGAATTCCAGTTGGGGGCTCTGTGCAGTTGTAAAGGGACATTCTTGTAAAGACGATCCAATAAGGCCAGAAGAGCAACAATTAGTTTTTGGTAGGGGACCTTTTAGATCTGACCAAACAATGAGGGCTTTAAGGCCCGGGCAAGAGATATGAGATTAACGGTTCAATTGCCCGGCCCTGTGAAATATTATCAAAGCTCGATATGCCAGATTTCGGATCAGCTTTCTTGTTCCCCGGCATCCAGACAGGTCTTTTCCATTACGATATTCGCAGCCCACCATCAACTCCCCAACCCAAGACCCCAGACGAACAAGTTACAATTTTTCAGACTGTCACATACATTTTTTAGGACATAAGATCGTCAATATTTGCTGTTTTTTTGCTGATTTACCCCCTTAATTTGAAAAGCAATTTTAACATATTAACTCCGAATATATATGATCTATCAAAATCGATAACTATAATTCTGCTTTCGTACATCCAGTTTTATTTTCCTTTTTTTTTTTCAAATGAATATAAAGCAAATTTGTTGAGCTTCATCACCTCGGACACTTACAGGGGTTGGGCTGGCTAAGGAGAGGGTTTCATCTGAGATATGTGTAGTGGATCATTATTCCGCCAGCTTCGATGACAATAAGAGAAGTTAGGAGCAAAGAAGTAAAAGAAATGGTATTTGAAATCTCCATAATGCCAAATAAACGTATTATGACTAATTTGAAATCTCCACTAAATCAATTCAGTAACAAGCAATACTTAGAAACCAAATGAAAGGCATTTTTATTTGGACCAATGCTTGAAGAATAAAAAGATAAAGGTTCAACAACCACGCTTAATACTCAATAGGCATGGTTTCAGGCTTTCAGAAGAGGCTGGTCAGCTTCTAACTGAACTGTAATGCTACCAAAGATAGATGCATCAGCATAGGCTCAAAATGGTAAACCAAAATTCAGATTAAAACTACTAGTGAGACAATTTAAATGGCCTTAGATGCAGCATCAACTAAGCACTAATTCATGCTAAAGCAACTGGATTTTTTTCTGGAACACGATCTCCACCTTGTTAGCAGGTAGGAGCATTCTATAGAAAATGTGCAGAAAAATGTTTCAGAGTAATTTCAGAACAACCAGACTTCACATTGGAGGCCGACCAGAACCAAGCAGTTGTCCAACCAGATTTGTCACCTGAACAAGAAGAATTAAGAGACAAGATCATGTATTTATTAATTTGTGTAACATTTCCTATAGCGTCCACTACATACCCCCAGCCCTTTCTTTTTCCTCTCCTTTTTCAAGTTGAAAGTAATTGTAAAGCAGAAACTACCCCTTTCATTTGGCTCTTCAACTTGTAGTAGTCACTTCCTAATTCCTATTCATGGCACTGATAAATTTCCTAAAGGTCATCAGAGCACAACCGTACCTCCTACACCATGGAACGTACAGGGTGCTTGTCATTTGGCAATTTCTACAATTGCAGCAACAATATTTATTCAATCTGCTGAAATGCAAGGATTGCATCCAGTAGTCGAGCAGTCAATTTTTCTAGTGATACATGGCTTCCTCAGTTTACATATGAGAGTGAAATTAAAGTATCCAGTGTGTTACCTGCCAGTACTTAGAAACACAGCGATCAATACAGCTGTTTTCTCCCATATTCAGCTCAGATTCCTTGTACCTTTAGGAGAAACATGCTCAAAATTGCAAATCCAGAGAAGTGTCATCATAATAGGCAATGTAACGCAGAAACTTCAACATGCTATATTAGCTATATTCATCAACAATAGATAAGAAATCGAAACAAGGAGAAAATCGATACCTTTTCTCAACACACTTGTTAAAACATGTGTGGGTAAGCCTGGAAGATCAACAGTAAAAGACGAGTAAAAATCAGGTTGAATATGTACTTGGAAGACCTAATTTTCTAATCAAGAACAGTATCAGCTACTCTAAAAGCAGCCACTTGCCAATTCATAACAATCCTTCTGCTTCTGGATCTACAGGTTCAACATAGTATGAAAGGAATAATTATCTATTGAATAAGCAACAGACTAGAAGGTATCTAAGTCCTTCATTTTCTTTCTTTTTTCTCAAGATTTTGAAGTAATGTTCTATATGTAATATCACCAAAAAAATAAAAAGAGCTCATTTATAATACTCATATTACCTAACAAAATTCTCACTTGTGGTAATCCATTGAAAACTCTCAGTCAATTGAGCAAAGAAGAAAGTAAGCATATCGTAAAGAAAAGGAGGTGATTCTTCACTAACAAGAGAAAACTGTACCTAAAATCAATTAGCCTTCCGGCTCGTTCTCTTAAGCAGTCAATAAGTGTAATAAGCCGCGCTAGGCTCGCTTACGATGGATCCTCCCACTTAATTAAATTCGGGAATAAATGCAAAAGTTCGAAGTTTTATCTGCCTATATCCCACATAAAAAACAAGAACTGTTTAGGATTGAGATGAAGATAATACAATGTGGAAGGCCTTACTTGTTAAATAATTCGACCCTGTATTCCATCTCCTTCTCTGCCATGCCCAAAATCTGCCAAGTCATACACATAAAAAGATAATAAAGTTATAAACCAATTCCTGCTTAGTTTTACTTGAAACAATCAACGCTGAGCACTAAGTAAATTCAATGATTCCGCAGACTATTTCTAAAACCAATATCTCAAAATTCACGACTAATTAGCCAAAAAAAAAAAAAAAAACCAAAACCATCAGCATGAGCAGATATCGAGGTCAATATAATCAGGAAGGTAAGATACCAGTTCCTTGTCGATTCCTGGAGGAGGAGGAGCAGCACTATTTGCAGCCATTGTTCACTAATTTCTGGAGAAAAGGAAAAAGACTTGAAACTTTAATTTATATACAAACAAAAAGGAAAAAAACGAAGAAGAAGAAGAAGATGGAGACAAGACTAGGCTCAGAAAAGCTCAGATGGAGGAAAGAGGCTCACAAATCGGAGGCCAAATAAAGTCCTGATGCGGAACAACGAAGAATTGCTTGTCAAGTCGGATATTTTGAGGTTTAGGGTTTAAGGAGCAGTAGCTGGTCTTGAACCCTGTAGACCCTGAAATCTTTAAAAAATCAAAAAATAAAATAAAAAGAAAAGGGCATGTAGACCCTGATTTTACTGTAAAGTACTATACGATGTATGTATATCATGTACCAGATCGTCCGGTCAAGTTTCTTTTTTTCTTCCATTTTTAACCTTAAACAAATAACAATAAACGGTTCTTTCTTTTTCTTTTGGGTCCCGTCAGGCCTTAACAAGTTTTTTTTTGAAAAATACTTTTTATTTGAGCAATTTCAAATACTTGTACTCTTCTAAATGTACATGTATACTATACATTATACAAATACTCACATTTATCGCAGAGAAATGAGTTTGCTTGATGTCTTTTTTTTTTTTTGTCGAAACGATAGATGTCCTATAACCTACCTAAGGAGAGGGGGTTCGATGTGAGTACAGACTCCATCGATGAAGGTCAATTAAGACCGCCACAAATTGTGGCAAATTTGTGGGAGGCAGGGATTGAACTCATGACCTTCAATATCACCTTTAATGGTGATGACCACTGGACCAAATGGCCAGTGGCGAATTTGCTTGATGTCAGTAGTCCAATTTTAGAATCTCACCAACTTTCGTTGGTAATAGTACGATACAAAGTGCATAGCAACATAACGGATGTAAATATAACTTGTACCGTTAGTATTAAAATTTGTATAATGTGTTGTTTTATTTTAAAATAGAGGAATATGGATTTAGCCCTTTTAATACATACATATATATACATGTATATATACATATATGTATTGAAAATTCAACTAAAGATAAACACGACATCTGAAAAGGCAAAAAGTCATCAGTCATCAGTCACCAGGACAACACATCAAATCATCTCATCTCTCGCATAAAATCTACGTAACAATTAGCAAGAAATGGTACAGAGTCCTCGGCATAATTTACACACTATGAATAAAATCCCAGTGATTGTTGCAAACTATACTGCCTATTCCTATTACACACATGCGAAGATCTCCTTGTGCTCTGATCCAGATAGATGCTGCTGCTCTTCCGGACTCATGGCAGTATTTTAAAGTGAAAAAGCCATGAGATTATAAAGGCAAAAACCATGCACCCAAGCAGAAAATTCATGACACGACGGCCATGGCAGTAACTTCGGGTCTCGGAGAAGACCACAGGTGCTGTTGATGCTGCAGTAGCTATACCAGTGCCATTGTTCACCTCAGTTGCTTGTTCTCCGGCAATGTTCATTGCAGGGGCACCGCAAATTTCACAAGTTCTGGATAAACATTTACACGAGGAGGCACAGGCAGTCAGTCCACATGATACACCAGAAGCAACTGATATAAGCTTTTTCTAAATGGTCAAAAATCTGCTTTTATACGTTGTGGTCTCCGTATATTTAGACTTTCTTTTTTTTTTTTTTTTGAAAAAAAAAAAATGAGAGTTGAAAACACAAAAGCAAAGAAGTTTCTGGCCTACAAAGTTTGACCATTCTCTGTACCATCTTGATGCTTTTCTCAAGAAGTTCATAAATAACTGCTATCAGCTATGTCCACTCGCCAGCGCATGGCCAGAGTTGAAATGTCGCCAAAATCATCTGCTTGAAATGTCGCCAAATTCATCTGCTTAATCTCTTTAAAGTTTACCAAAACCATTTCCAGCAACTACCTTGCCAACATAAATACAAAGACGATGACAGAATCCATTTGTTTGGCATGGGATTTGCTTGCATGGACCTAAAGGTCTGGTAAGATAAAGGAAATGCAACATAAAATCTAAAGCTAATTTCCCTTCACCATGTGGTCAAAGCTCCTTGCTTGTTCCAGTGATCAGGATATTGACAGAGCACTTGTTCTAGGTGAGGGATATGGAGGCAGATTGGGGGAGAGGGAGGAATTTGAGGGAGGTTGATTTGCCTTAGACGAGGGGTCTGAGAAGCAGAGGAATAGTGGTTGGTACTCGATTGGGATGGCAAGAGATTCACATTCAAAAGGAGTCGTCAACTGGTATTCATATAAATGTTCAACTGCCCATATTTATACTTGCGGCAAAAGAGTGGCTTGAACTTTTAATTCTTAATAATCAGAATTATCTTCCTATGAACTTTTCATCTCCTACACACCAAAAGAGTAAGCAATAGTAAAAATTTGACCAACAACTGTTTATTCTTTGTTCCTTAATAGACACGAAGGTTAGACTGTAGATTGTCAGACAAGCTCTATAACAGTAGTTCGTGATTCATAGAGGGAACAAGCATCAAAAAGCAAATTAGAGGAATGCTACCCAGGCCATCAGATGATCTTCAAAAACCAAATAATCTGATCATGCACATAAACAACCACAAGATCAAATGAAATAAAGTTGGTCAAAAAAGAAGGCTTACTGGTAAAGGGAAAAGTTTGAAGTTAAAATATGCTGGTCATATAGCAGCATCTATCTAAAAGAAAAGAGATTTGATAAATCATAATGCATATCACCCAATCTTCAAGAACAAAAGGAAACATACAAGCAATCAGGTGACAAAGTGCGTAAAAGCATATCAGAAACAGTCATGGATCCCAGGCACACTAGCCCCACCTAACATCCATGATATCACCAAAAGTTAGGTGAAATGCTGTCTAACAACTGTATTATATACACAAAATAGGAGCTAAAGTATGTGTCGATCAATAATTGGCTGCCATACTGAAATGGACACATTTTTCAAATTGAAATTGATATGCAGCAAGATGGCAAAAGAATATGGACAATGACAAACACCAATAAATCCAATAAGGAGCAACAATAATGCAAGTAACACACGATTGATGTTTAAGATGGAAAGAATCCAGTAAAAATTTCATTTTCTGGAGCTACTTATATCCACAATCAGCTATCCGAAATAATGATGTGCATCAATATGATAAAGGATTATGTACTCATTACTCTACCAAGCTTGTAGAGAATGGTGAAATTTCCCTGCTTCAAACCAGGTAATTTCCATTCTTTTGGCAATCTTGGTATTGAAGTCAAGCATTTTTACATATCCAGGAGGAGACATAAAGCTTTCCCTACCTATTAAACTTGCCATTTCAGTTATAGACCAACAACACATTTTGACCCCTTAATATCAAACTAACAGGATTCTTCATTATTCCAACAAAAGTAAAGAAACAGAAAATGTGGGGCCCTCCATCAACACATTCTAGAGTACATTCTTCAACCACAGATCTCATGAGACACATTTTTTCTGCAGGCATTATTCAGAGATAACCGTAGAAACATAAAAGAGTCATATGGTATATAAAAGGTAAGCAAAATCGAAGTAGCAAGCATCTTAGACATTTAACAAGAATGAATATCTAAACAAAAATGAAAAGCATTCATTGCCACTAGAAGCAGAATAACACTATCAACAAAAGCAAAATTCCCAGAATGTGAGTTCGGGGAAATAGATCTCTTACAAAGAAACTTCTTACGGAATTCCCTAATTTTAAGGCACTTGCTAACAAAAATCACGCAAATTGCCAAAAACAGACTTACTCGGAGAATTCGGGCAAGCACCAAACCTTGGCTTAAACAGGATAAGCAGGTCACAAGTTACAAACTTTACTCAACAAAATTCATTTCTCCATCAAAACAGAGCCAAAAATTAACTAACCAAAATACACCAGGCAAATTTACACTATTAATGAAAAAGAGATGAACGAAAGTCACATACCTAAGCAATTCCTGTAAAAAGATCATATTTTTAAAGATAAGAAATAAAGCAAAATTTAAAGATCAGATTTTGATACTTACGTATTGCCCTTCATCTTGAACCAAGTCTCAGCACATTGCTTATGGGCTGAACCCAAATCCCCTTTACAACTGCATCCCAATTCAATAATATTACTCTGATCACCGCCGCCGGCATTACCACTCCTGGCAACACTGAATTTCAGATGACAAATCCTACACTCTCTTTTCTTGGCTCTATTACTATGAACTTTGAGCTCCAATTCACCACTCTCCAAATCCACCATCCCTTCTTCCTCTTCATCGGAAACTGTAGAGGACCCTCTTCGGCTGCTATGCTTTTTCGGCAGCGAAATACCCTCCGACTCTGTCGAGAACCGGCATTCCTCGTACGACCCACCAAGCTGCGAATGCAACGAACGGCTGTCGTCCTCGGTGTCGGAGAAGCGAAAGCTCCCGTCAGTTGTCGTCTCGCTGCTGGCTGCTACGGATGGCCTCGGCCTCCGTCGGCGGCGGCGTCGGCGGTGGCGGCGGAGACTAGTGCTACTACCAGCAGCAGCAGCAGCAGCAGCAGCGGAATTGTCGGCCGATTCTATGTCAGCTGGGCATGTGGTGGCGCTAATAGCCGACATTTTACAGAACCCAGAAGTAAAAAATCAGTATGGTTGGAAATATTTTGGTTATTTTATTTTATTTTCTGGGTTCAAGTTTGGAAGAGCATGGGGGGCAGGGGGCTGGATTTAACAATGTTCACCATGAGTGTGTGTTTGTTTGAGTGAAGAATGAGGGCGGAGGAAATTTCCCTCTCTCTCAGGACATAGCAGTATATATGGAGTGTAACGTATGCAAGGTAGTATGAGGATTGTGAAAAATAAGAGACAAGGGAAATGGAGTGTGACCGGGGGTGGGGGCTAGAGAGGTTGGTGGGGCTGGCGGGAGACAGACGCGTCGTGTCAGCCTGGAGAGGAGGGAGGGCGGAGTGCTGAGCTGATGAAAGTGAAATGAAACGCAAACATTTCTTGCTCTGCTACTGTGCGAGCGTGACTGTGTGCGAGTGAATAATACTTGTTAAGTATATGTAATTTGTGATAACTGGTTTTGGATAAGTAGCAATTAGTAATAATGACTGTATATGACTATCTCCGCTCATTCCTTCCTTTTCCTTTGGCCTTGGAGCAGCAAGGGGATAATACGTTGCGTTGATGGGGGACCCCTTTTCCAAGTAGGGACCAGTGCTTTCCCATCATCTGCTTTCTTTCTTTTGTACTTTTGGAAAAATGAAGAGACGAGTGGATTAGTTCATGATGCTGTTGCTTCCTCTCTCTCTCTCTCTCTCTCTCTCTCTCTCACTCTTGTTTACAGTTTACACAGGGGTCGTAAGTAACATGCACTTGTAAAGGGGTTTGAACAGCTAAACTTGAATCATTTGACAAATGGTTGAAATAAGTACCTTTTAATCTTCTCCTGTTCAAGGCTATAGTCTCAAAGGGAATAAAACATGTCAATTTGTTGACCAAGCTTTCTCATTTTGGAAATGAATAATCTCAATATCAAAATTTGAGAGTAATCGTTGGCCTAAATAGTCAAAAGATTAAGGAAAAGCTTTTGAAATATTTTCCCGACCCATTTTTTTTATTATCTTTTTACGTAATAGACATCAAATCGACTCTAATATTGGCGTATACATTAAAGAACATAAACCTCACAAATTATAAAGTTGTCAAGATCAACTTCGTTCGTGTAATTACATATTAGTACATCGGTATAAACTAGTACAGTTGTGATGCGATTTTAAATTTTATATAGATTTAGTTATATATGAGTTAACAAATTTAAATTTAGATTCGACTTGTATGATTTTACACCAAAAGTGAAAGAATTACATCAGCTGATTTGAACCTGACAACTTTAGATTTGTAAGGTCCATGATCTATTATCCATTAACGCAATGATGGAGCCAAGGGGGGACAGAGGGGGGCCATGGCCCCCTAAGTTTTGAAAATTTTAATTCATAATATGTAAATATGTGTGTAAAATAAAATCGGCCCCCTCTAAATTTTTAAAATTTTAGTTTATATTATGAGAGTTGAGATATATATATATATATATATATATATATATATGAATTAGTTATCTTTGAATTATTTTTTTCTTCAGAAAAAGTTATTTATTTTTTATTGTACTAATTATTTAACTTTCAAAAATTAAACGTATAATTTGATGTTCCATAGTAAATTGACCCAATGTGATGTATTAGAATAAAAAGACCCAATTCATAATTGTTAATGGGCTAAAAAGACCCAATTCATAATTGTTAAAAGCAAGAACTAGTACGTCTAAGAATAGAACTTCAATATTTTGAGCTCGACCTTCCAAATCATCATGAATTGCAAGAATTATCTGGTATTCATGAGTTATGTCAAGACTTGGTGAAGACAAGAAAATCAGTGATATATCCTCTTATTGACAGATTTATTAGACTTGTTCTTACTCTTCCTATATCAACTGCAACTACAGAGCGGGCATTTTCAATTATGAAAATAATCAAGACAAAGCTCCGAAACAAGACGGAAGATAATTTCTTGAATAATTGTCTAACTGTGTATATAGAAAAGGAAGTTGCTGAAAAATTTAGCAGTGATTCAATCATAGATGAATTTAGTTCTATGAAAGAGGGTAGAGCTCAATTTACTTCTAAAAAAAGATGTTGAAATTTCAAATAATGTTAACATAACTTTTATCTTTTTTCAATTGAAAATAGTTACATTTATATTACACGGTATATATATATATATATATATATATATATATATATATATATATATATATATATATATATATATATATTGCATAGGTGACATATTGGAGAGCATCTTCTCATAATGTGCAAATTGAATGGTTTGTGATGTTATAAGATGTTTAATCAAAAGTTATATTTTTTGTTAATTTTTGTTATGACTATACCGCATATTTATGAATAGACATACCTTTATAATTAAATTTAATATTTGATATTTTTAGATGTCATATATTTAAATAGAAGAAAATTATTTTGAACATAATATATTAAGATAATTTTATTAGGAAAAAATTTTGGCCCCCCCCCAAAAAAAATCCTGGCTCCGTTAACGTATTTACATATATATATATATATATATATATATGTATGTATAACATATCTAAAATTTGATATTATTATCATGCTAATTGGAACTGCAACTCTCATCAAGAAAACCCAAGGTTAAACTCTTTTAAACCCCTATTTGCTATCGGGACCGGACCTCTTTTCTTGAAGAAGATACGTGATATGAAGTCCGTACAAGAAATATAATTGATAACTGAATTTGCATTGTGTCAACACAGATTATGAATGTCCAGCTGTGTATGGCTATCTAACCTAATCATGCTTAAATCATGTCGCTGTCCTATTGCAAAATGGTGAAATACATATGTCTGGATAAAAGTTAGTATTTGTCAATAAATAATTTACTTGTTTGTATCACAAATACATTTTTCAACACATCTTTCTTTATATTTTTTAATCATATTTTTATTTTACATATATCGCATTATAAAAAGCACTACAATAATGAGTTTAAATAATCTCCTATCCAAACGTACTGTCTCGTGCAAGATTTACATAATTGGGAGAGAGCCAAGGTTAATGAACCTAACCCCTTGGTTTAGCCAAATTAGGGGGTGCTTGCTTGAATTATCCACTGCCAGCAGGTAACCTGCAAGCACCGAAATGGTTCAACATATGCAACACGTTGAGAGCACTCAATGCGACCAGATTTCAAAAGTTACTTGTATAGAATAATTGGCTACTCATCAAAGCAAACGTCATAATTCGCTTTTAAACTAAAAAGTAAAAAGTAAAGCTTCCTGTTCTTCTCCCGAGTCCCGACTATATTGCTGAAAGCATTCTCCAAGATTGAATTCATGTGTGCTGTGCCAAAAGATCCTACGTACGTACTTTCGACTGTGTCACAGCCAAATTTACAGTAACACATTTCATGCGAAAATGTTAATTGGTGTGTCAATTTCTTGTGTTAGTTAATTGTGTGGTCCGTGAAAGGTTCAAATATTTTTCCCCGTAGAGCATGCAATGCAACAAGATTCTTTACTTTTGGATTTAAAGCTTCTTCTCCGGCCAATGGTTTATCGACCTCGCCGTCCATGGCTTTTATTAATGGGGACCAATTCTTTTTATGGATGATAGACTCATTTGTGGCCTTTTTTTTTTTTTTTTTTTCTAAATTTGTAAAAATATGTGGTTGATTTTTGGAGGTCGAAAATCGAAATTCATCGTGTGGTTCGCTAGGTCTATTTTGTTATTAATTATTATTTTTATTTTTCGGATGATATTTTGCTAGGTCTATATCAAAAAATATCAACATCATTAGTACCTGAAGCAACATCTAAAATGTTTCTGTGGATAATATTAGGTTCAGGTAACCACTTCCCCACCAAGAAAGACAAAATTTGATTAATGTCTTTATGTCAAAAATGAAAATAGACAAAATCCATTAGTAAAAGATTTTATAGAAGATGAAAAGTTTGGTCCATGGTCAACCAAAAATCTGTCAGATATTAAGATTAATGATGAAAGTCCTAAAGGCACAATTCCGAAGGGATCGTTTCTAATGAAGAAATTTCATTAGACTTCTACTTAATTTATTTACCTTCTCCGAAAGCCAAATCATATGGTGAAGATCAACAACATTTTGGCTGCAAATCGGGGATCAAGAAGGGTGTCTGAGGAGATCCCGACAGCATTTCTACCAAGCCCACATGCATTGATCGGGACGCCCGTAGCATGTTCCTACATCCGCGGATGTTCTTGGGAAATTCTTACCAATTCAATTTCCAAATTTTAACGCTTAGTTTTGCTCAAATACCCCATTGCTCACTTTGTTATTTTAAACGAAGGTTGAGTAACCGCCGGAAGGAAGGACCATGAAATACGTACATATGCAGAAACTGTTCTTCTATCAATGGCAGCATGAATTCTTTTGTTATTTCTTCAACAAGGGGAACGTGGTCAAGAACAGAATCTGTGCCTTTCATATATGAGTACGAGGTCGTTGTTTTGCAAATGCAGCATACAGGCTACAGAGCAACAATTTGATCCACAGAACCTTTTGCTTTCTGCCCTGGTATCCTCTTGGTCATGATGGGGTTGTTTCTTTACAAGCTTCTACCCAACAACTATCTAGACTAGCACCATAGCTTACGGTAAATATAGAGCTTCTTTTTTTACAGGGGTAAAGCGTACAGCTGCTTTGAGTTGAGGCCCTTCATGAATTTTGGTAATGTCAGATCGGGAGTCGGAACTAATAGCTATAGTCTATGAACTGCTGTTCTGCACAGGAAGGGACAGGCCTCCATCGTCTGCATCCTGGGCAGTCTGGATCTTCCGTAGAGAACGATATTGCAGCCGAACATTTTCACCAGTTTCAATTATCTTAAGTAAGTACCTGAAATAATTACCGTAAGCCATTGCATAAATCTTTCAAAAGAGCGTACTGCTACTCTACAAGTTAACAAAATGTTATTTTCCCTTCTTTCCATCCCAGCCGAAAGTTGAGTGCAATTTCCAGCATCTCAAGAAGACCGAGAATCAACTTCAACTCAAACACAACACAATGAATTCCTACACACTTTTAGGGATGTTACATTCTATTTTTGTGCTCAACCCGTA